CAGTTAGTGAGTTTGGGCTCCATGCTGGGCTCTGTGCTGACGGCTCAGAGCCTGGAGCCTGCTTCGGATTCTGTGTGTGTGTGTCTCTCTCTGCCCCTCCCCCACTCACACTCTGTCTCTGTCTCAAAAATACATAAACATTAAAAAATTTTTATAAAAGAAGATAAGCTCACTACAATGTGGTAAAGAAGTCTTAAGAGGCAGGCCTGATGGGAGAACTCTAGGTACAGAGGTGCCATGGGGCTCAGGTGATGAAGACTGGGCTGAGTCTTGACATACAAGTAAATGATAGCCAAGCCAAGGGGCAGAAGTGATGGAAGGAGTAAAACCATGACAGTGCGGAGGAGGAGAAAGGTGTGGTCAGGTAGGTAGTTCAGTGTGGCTGAATGCCAGAGAACCTCACGGGCCCAGCATGCGAGGTGGTGAGAGGAAGTGGAGAATTTTAAGCCGGCAAACGATGTAGTTAGGTTTGAGCTTTACGAAACCACAACCCAGAAGCAGGAGGGGAGGAGAGGCCAAAGCAGGCGAAAGTGGAGCAGGTGATTACAGCGTTCTCAGTGAGATGGCGGTGGGCTGGCAGGGGCAGGGAGAGGGACCATCAACAGCACTGGGAGGCCGGCATGGCGAGGAGGAAACGGTGGTCAGGTGGGAGTGCAGGAGACGGGAAGTGGAGGGTGCCGCCCGGACTTCCAGCATCAGTCACGGGCACTGACCCAACTCTCAACAAACTCGGCCACCACAGAAAGGCCTTTTATAACTTCCTGGCAGCCGTTTTTCCGGTAGGTTGATGGGAGGCAATGATTAACTTAAATTATATATTCTAGGCACCAGTAAGCTCCTGCGGTAGGCACCCCTAACAGGTGTCACCAAAAACAGACAAGATAATGGTAGAGCCAGTAAAAGCTATTGTTCTGGAAAAAAACCAAAACATTTGCCAACTTTTAGATGCCACTTCATTGGTGGCAGGGGCTCTCCAAGTATGCTTGTCTGGCCTCTGGAGTGTGGCAGAAAAAGTATGGGGGTTCGTCAACTGTGGGGGCAAGAGCCAAAAGAATGTGAAGTTCTAAGGGAAAATTGTGGTCATGAGGTTTTGGCCGTGTGCAAAGTAAAGTTATAAGGAAGTCAAAGTGAACAGACCTAAGTAAAGCAGACAGACAGCAGATGGGGAGAGTTATGGGGCAAGAGGTGGGTGGAGATCGTGCGGAGCTACCAACTCAGACGCTCCTCCGTGAGGCTCCCGGCTGATCACCTTTTCCCGGGATCCCAGGCACACACGGCCTTCAGATACCCTCTCAGTTACTTAAGGTTGTTAGGAGGGAGGGAGGGAGGAGCCGCGGCAAAGAATTTAAGAAAATGAAGACCCAGGAGATCCAAGTCCTGTTACTTATGAACTATGTGACCCTGGTGGTAAAGTCAACATTTTTAAGTCCCAATTTCCTCATCTGCAAAAGAGGCCTAAAACCATCTGGCACCGGGGTGGTCATAAGGATTAAACCAACGTACTCTATGCACAGGAGAAACTGCTAGCACAGTGCCTGATACGCAGGAAATCCATGATAGATGCTAACCTGATCTCATTCTCCCCCTTTCTCTAATGTTCACAAACACCGCTACCAAAAGCCTAACTCGTGCAGAACTACTGATGCAATGGGCAACGGATCGTAACTCAGTACTCTGCTTTTTCAACCCCCAGTTCGGAGCAAATCAATCATGAGTAACCATTACACTAAAAATGAAATTCAAAATGATGCCATAAAACCCTGTGTTCACATGAACACCTTCCATACAGAATTTATTGCCATGTCAATAAGAACTGTACTAAGTAGCACATTTTCACTTATTGTATTTCATTAGAAATTATATCCTAAAAGAAAACAGTAAAAGAACTTACATTACTGTGTGCAGACACCGTGCCAAGTGCATTCTTCCACTTACTATTCCGAATAACCCTTTAAGGTAGAAACAATCCTTACGTCCAATTTACAAATCCAGGAGACAAAGGCTCAGACCGGGAAAAGGACTAACCCAAAGGCACATGGCCAACAACAGAAGGTCTGAGATTCTACACAGTTTTGTCGGACTCACAAGCCCATGTATTTTTTTCACTCAAGACGAGAACCTCAGAACGACTGGTCTCCAAAATCAATAACGATGCTCACCTAATCCTTAGGTGTAACTGATGACCGCTCACGGGTTCACCTTTTTAAAATAGTTCACCTCTAAAATTCTTCAAAGCTGCAAGCTTACATAATGCCACTCAAACATTCCAGCAATTCATCGTGCTTGTTAACAATTGGTGAAACTAAGAACATCCTGATGAATTTCTCTAATACAGAAGGTACACTCCTCAAACTCCAAAACAACAGCCTATCTATCGATTCACCACATCAGTACTACATTCAAAGGTTTTCCTTTGCCTACATGGATAAAACCTCTCAGCAAACAGAATGAGTCGAATTGTTTTCCAACCACCCAGTATATCAAAAAAGATACCATTTATTTTCCCATCAGGCCACGGGTTGATTATAAATCTTAACCAAAACTGATCAAGAAAGGCAAGTGCAGTTTCATTTTCTTTTGACATTTCAGGGCAAGTAGTAGTCAGAGGATAAGAGAACAAACTTTTGTTAAGCTGAGTGCAATTTACAAACCAGGGTCCTCCTAAGAGTACCCTCAAGTACTGACTTAAGCCCATTTCACGCCTGGATTTTGGATTTCATACACTGGGGCTCCAGGGGTTACACAAGAGGCAAAAATCAATCTTTGCGCCCAGACATCTTCAAAGCCCAGGCACGCACTTTCCATCGTGCCTCGTTTTTGCTCCTCTGTCACCCTTACTCAATTTACCTCAGTTAATAGAAATCACTGTACTTGTCAAGGAATCAAAGTCAGTGAGTCCTTAAATCTCTTCAATATTCTGGTATCACCGCAGTTCCAAGTTTAGAAAAACCATATTCCAACGTTATGACAGGGTGACAACGACTCCAAGCGCGACTCTGCTCTACACGCTGTCCGCCGCAAACAGTTTCCAAAATCTGTACTACCGGGTAGAATTTTAAAATACCAATTTAGCACAACTTCATTCCATTTTCTTATTTTTGTTTCCACACAGTTTCGGGGTTAGGGGAGACCAGTATAAATTACCTCACAGAAACCCACAAGTAACATTACCCGTTAAGGTTAAAACTTTAACTACCTTCCTGAGGTATGCTGCTGGGGTCTCATTACGGCAGGTAATCTCACATTCCACCATGCACAACACACTAAGTACCAGCATCTCCCAATTACACTGCCACGTAAATCTCAAAGGACATTTGAAAAGTCTACGCAGCTCCTGCACCCACTGCCGAAGCACAACCACCTCTAATGGAACGTGGCAGCTTTCTACACTAAATATTCACACGCAGGGACAGGGATGCTAGGCTCGGCCTTATCCCACACTGAAGAGCGGATGCTAATTAAAAGGCCACACTGACTCAGGAAATGACCGCCCAGACAACTCTGGACACCGTCTGGAGTTTTGTTTTCCTATTTCCAAAGATCTTCAGCTGGCCAAACTTCCAGGGTTATACAACTGAGAAAAAGTTACAGCAGGAACCTCTCCCCACCCTGCACCTTTGTACGTGACACGATGCCCCTTGGCTGGATGGTCTCTCCTTTTCTGCAGGCTCCCTGTCCCACCTCTTCCTCAAACCCCAAGACGAAAAAATTCAAGCGAGGAGTCACATGTGCTTTGAGGTCATCTTAAAGTACCGAGACAGATCCCACCAATTCCCCTCCTGTGTTACCTGTGTGCCCCCCTTAGATGTTGCATTCTTGTGCTTTTCATGCCCTACTTTCAGTAGTGGCTCGTAGGTCTGTCCGCCCCGCTAAGTTATAAATGTCGCTAAGGAAGGGACCATGGCTCATACCCAGGCACAGAGCTTGGCACCCATTCGGAGATCAAAATACGATTTAGGTGAACGGAACATAAGGCCACCCTTCGCATCTCTGAATGAGGCCCGCGTCTCAATACTTTCCAAGGGTTCTCATGGTGACTCAATGGGGATGTAAAAGAGGTCCTTCTGATGACGTAGGTACCCAGAAATTTCTCGTTTCTTCCCGCACTACCCTTCCGCCTTTGCCAATTTTGGTGTTTTTGAGAAAGCACCATTTTTTAAAGCCTTCATAACAACAGAAGGTATCCAGGGTATATTCGTTCTGACATAATCATCTGGCTATTTTTGGAACAGTTTTTACTTCAGCTAGCAAAACCTAGACTAGGCTGTGATGCAAAAAAACAAAACAAACAAAAAACCTGTCATAACTGTAGTAATGGCTTTGAGATATCTCATCTAAGCCAACTTTACTCTCACGCCTCTTAAAAATTGCTAATCTCTTCAAATATTGGCAGTTCCATTTATTCAGATCTTCTGATACATAATATTTGCTGATTTTCCCCCTTGAGTTGATACAGATATATGAAGAGTGTGAAACAAAACTTCTGTGCCCATGCAAATTACAGGGGCATTATTAAATTCCCATCCACTCTAGATCAGAAGGTAAAACTAGGACAGCAGCCCATGAAAACCTCCCAGCCCATGAAAGCTGACAGATCAACTGCTCAAGTTCCCCCACTCTTGTGCACAGTGGTCCCATTTAACATTTAAGTATCTGGGGCACCTGGGTGGCTCAGCTGCTTGAGCATCTGACTCCAACTCAGGTCGTGATCTCACACTTTGTGAGTTTGAGCCCCGCATCAGGCTCTGTACTAACAGCTCAGAGCCTGCAGCCTGCTTAGGATTCTGTGTCTCCCTCTCTCTCCACCCCTCCCCCTCTCGCATGCTGTCTCTCAAAAATAAATAAACATTAAAAAAATTTAAAAAACATTTAAATATCTTGTGTAAGTTTACCATCTTTGTTTTATGTTCATTTACATGTATAACGTAAATGTACACAGGTACCACATTTAAATATTTAGCCCCAAATGTTCTTTTACACTTCATTTTTCCACAGAGCTATTTCATTTAAAAAAAAAAAAAAAAAAAAAAAGATGAAACTTTCCTAAAATTCTTAATCACACTGAGTGTATATGAGCGAATGTGTAATGTTTGGCTGCTTTGCACACCCACAAGCCCACCACCTCTCCCCCTGTCTGATATCACACACCACACAAGTATAATAAACCATGTTAATATTTCATACCACTGTGAAATATGCTGGAGTATCAATTCAACATCTGCTGTCTTTAGGGTCCGGGAGTCCCGCAGAGACACTTTCAATTTGTAATTGAGTTCTATGCTGAATTAATCAGCAGTTTATCTTTTTTACTAAAATAACGTCTTCACCACTAACCCAGATTTACATTAACAATTTATGCCAAATTACCTGCCAAGGCAAAACTTATAAGATTCTAAGCTACCATCCAATAACACTCAGTCCTATATTTCATTTCTTATATTCCTCTAACTTATATACAAGAAAAGTGGAAATCCATTGTTTAAGAGCCACGAGCCTCTAACCACAGACAGCCTCTTGGATTCCTGACACACAGCCTTACTTGACAGTGAAATTCAGGGGAGTTTCCCCCTCTTCTCCTGAAAGCCACTGTTCAGTAAGTAGCTACGATTCAAAATTTTTATAAAATAAGAGTTCCAGGATGGAAAGAAATCAGTGAATAATAAAAATAATAAAAGAGTTTATTTCTTTTTCCAAGGAGCTATGGCAGTCCAGTCTTGGCTTGAGTAACAGAAAAAGACAACCCAGATAAAGGGGACATTTTTAGTGTCTTAAATTATGTCCCTGAGACCCAAGTTAGCAAAGACCATTTAATTTGGTAAGAGACGGATAAAGAAGTTCATTTTTTCTCTTTGATAACATGATCCAGAATACTGTGTTAACAATAATAACTTCCTATTAATTCTACCCATGCAGTTGAAAGTCACCAAACATTTATTTCTATTCAACATTAGAAACTAGCTCTTGCCTCTCTCTGATTGAAGAGTTGCCGGTCACAAAGAAGTTACATTTTGCCTGCTGGATCTTTGCCACAGGTGCAGCAAGCAATATACTCTGAAATATTTCTCCTGTATGGAATATTTCCCCCTGCCTTTCTCAGTTACAGGAAATATGTAAAGTGAAAACATTTCAAATGGGAACACCTGCTCCAAAGAAATGCATCATAAATAATTACCTATATACCACAGAGTAAAATAATCCCTCCTTTTCAATCTACTTTGCCCATAGCTGTATAAGAACGTTCCACCATCATACAGAACAGCCTCCTGCAATCCTACCTCTGGATCGCAGCACCAAGTGTCGTGTAATGTCTCGCATTCAGCTGGTGCCCAATAAGTACCTGCTGATTGATTACATATTGACTTTACAAGAAAATGAAATTCAGTGTACATAAGCACAGTGGGAAAAATTTTTGCACAGAAATGTTTTTGGCAGAAAACCAACAAAGAATTCTCCAAGCCAGTGACTGTGGCAGTGTGGCACCTGCAGTACTCTCCACACGGCCTCAAAGATCTGGAGGTAGAGGACTTCGCATTTTACACAGGATCACTTCCCGAAGATCTGCGGACTACTGAAGCCTAGAAGCCTGGCCCCCCGAGGAGCCCATTCCCAGCACGCCGGAGATTTTGGTAAGCTACACCTTTCTTTCGGGGCCTCCTCCCATCCAATCCCCTTTTATTTCCTGAAACTAAGTGGGAAAAATTAAGACACCCTTTCTAAAATTTCCTTTGCCCCTTCCCAGAAATATTCCACTCTGAACTTCAACTTGTATCACAGACAGAAGAAAAACGGTGACGGTGGACATGATGGCCCGCCACCACCATTAACTGAGGGTCTGAAGACAGAGAGGCGAGGAGGACAAACAGACTCAGCCAGATGAATGGACACTGAAGTGGCCATTCCTAAGTCAAGGGAGACTAAAGAATCCCACAGAATCAGGGGGAGAGAAGCATTTACTTGTGAAATCCCAAACTCTGTACCATAGGGAGCAAAGTCCTGCTCTTGAATCATCAGGAGTAAGACCAAACTTCCATCTGCCTTATAAAACATCACAAAAGGAAAAGATCCAAGGGAGTAACCTTAACTCAAGAAGTCCCTTTGTGCCTCTGCAAATTAGATTCACTAGTGTGCTCCAACTTAAGAGAACATACTCACTTTGTAAACGGGGGACAACTCAACATATCTGATCTGGTAAGAAGCTTTAACAACCATCAGTAGGGTCTCCTTATCATCTAAAGGTTTAATAGTGATTCTCCTAATCACCCATGGAATCTAACGCCAACTTCACTATCTGTTTATTTCTAAAAGTAACTGTTTAACTCCACTGCAAATCGCTACTTAAGAATTCTACACAGGGCCCTGGGGATTATATTTTTGGGTTCTGACATCTCTAAAAAAAAAAAAAAAAAACCTAATGCTTTACATTAAATACAACCAGAGACAAAATTATTAAGGAACATTAATACATGTTTTATTCAACAATAAAGACACAACTAATGCACATCTAGTGACCCAGCCCACTTTGGAAACCAGTCTGATGGTTCCTCAAAAGGTTAAACGTAGAGTTACCATACAACCCGGCAATCCCACTCCACGGTATGTATACCCAAGAGAAATGACAGTAGATGCCCCACACAAAACCTTGTACACAAACATTCATAGCATCATTACTCATAATAGCCTAAAAGTAAAATCAATCCACATGTCCATCAACGAATGAATGGGTAAATAAAATGTGGTTATGTCCACACAATGGAATAGTATTAAACCATAAAAAGGAATGAAGTACCAATACATGCTACAACATGGATGAAATATTATGAAAACATTGGAAGTTACAGGAGCCAGTCACAAAAGACCACATGTTGTATAATTCCTATTATACAAAATGTCCAGAAAATGCAAGCCTAGAGAGACAAAAGGTAGATTAGTTATTGCCCAGGGCTGGGAAGGTTGAGGGTAAATGAGGAGTGACTACTAATGAGGATGGGATTTCTTCTGCGGGTGATGGAGATGTTCCCAAAGTGACTGTGGTGATAGCTGTGCAACTCTGTGAACAGCCCAAAAATCACGGAACTGTACACTTACAGTAGCTGAGCTGTACAGATGTAAATTATGTCTTGAAGAAGCTACTATCTAAAAAAAGGCCTGCAACATTTTTATCTCATTTACTTATTTCAGAGAGAGCGAGAGCATGAGTGGGGGAGAGGGGCAGAGGGACAAAGAGAGAGAATCTCATGCAGGCTCCAATCTCAGCACAGAGCCCGATGCAGGTCCCGATCCCACCACCCTGGGGTCATGACCTGCCTGAGCTGAAATCAAGAATCGGACGTTCAACCGACTGAGCCACCCAGGCACCCCGGCATCCAACATTTTTAGACTACAGGACCTAATAAAGAAGAGTCAAAACATCCTGTGACACATCACAAGTCAAAGAACTCACATTCTAATAGTATTTTTTTTCAAAGCTAGAGATCACAGTAAACAAAAACGTCAGCCCAGATCCTTAAAAGCATTTAATATGAAAGAATTTAGGCTCTAACTATATATATTTTTCCCAGACACACACAAGACCCCTAAACAGATGTAGCAACCAGACAAACGTAAAATCTGGAAAAGTGCGTCAAGTTCAGCTCATTAAGCTGACACCCATTAAAGTGTAACAAGAAAAACAGTCTTAAACACCATCAATATCAATACAGGACAGAAAAACCATTGTTTATAAGAGCTAGCGAAGGTCAGATTTTTTTTTTTTTTTTTAATTTTGCATTTACTTAAAACTCTGTTTGATGCCAACAGGGTTCAAGTCGCACAGGAAGGTGCTTCGGCTAAACACTGATAGTCTTCCTTGATCTCCATTGTCTGCTGTGTGGGTTCCGCCAGCAACCCTCCCAGCGAGTGGTCACCTACCCATGGAGTCATTAAACCTCTGAATGTCAGCTGGCGGGATTAGCCAGCAGCTTCCACACCTGAGCCCCCGTGGCAGGGACAGAGGCATTTGGATCAAGATCACTAATGAATACAGAATTCATATGCCGCTTGTCAGGGCTCCTGAGCTCAGAGTCGCACAGATGCAACCGAAATAAGACGGAGGACAGAACAATTGTTGACGAAGATTAAAAAGTTTTGGCAGTTGGGAAAAAAAAGAGCACCTCATTATTCAAATATGATAGTCTTATTTTTTTTTTTTATTTTTGTTCAAGTTATTCATGATTTGCCTCAAATGGACAAATGCCATTCACCAATATTTAAGGACTTCTTGGTCTCATTACTAAATCTGAAGAGGCTTATGCCAGCTAAACGCTACCTATATAGAGAAAACAGCTCCCTTGTAAATATCTGAAACCTTGCGGGGGAAGAAAGCCAGTCACGGGGTATTTGGGGTGAAGAAGGGTTAAAAGATGAAAAAGTCCGATGAATTCAAAGAGGAAAAAAATTTATTTTTCACAGCCAAGTGACTTTTTTTTATAGATCCCCGTATCTCTGGATTTCTAAACTTCCTTGCGTCTTTCTGTTCCTGGGCTCCTTCCAATCGCTGAGCTCACCGAAGAGGTTTACACACCTCCACTGACATTTGTTTGGCTTCCTGCCGTCTTCACAAGACCTCATCAGAGAAAAGGAACAGCCCGAGCAGCCCAGACCTCTGCTCACCTGGAGTAAGATGTCTTCCCCACTCTGTTGTCAGAGAATCTCAAGCCTAGCAAAGAGGCAGAATGGCACAGTGACGGATCGCGCCGGAGGGCTCTAAAGCCAGACCGACAGACCGACCGGGATTCAAATGGTGACTCCACTGCTGACTAGCTGTGTGACCCGGGGCAAGGTATCTGACCTCCCCACATCCTCACGTTCCGCTCCACAAAACGGCGCTAACAAAGTACAGACCCCGCACAGTTATTGAAAAGTAAAGGAGAGAATGCTGAGGAAGCGGTTAGAAAAGTCTGGCACAGTGTGCCAACACTCAGCGAGCATCGGCTACCGTGATTACTGGATCTTCATCACCTCCTCCCCCGTCACCGCAGAAAGGCAAATCCTTCCACAGCCCGTGGTATGTGTTGAGCAGGCTTCTTCTACTGTCATTATGACCTCCCCATAAGTCTGTCTCAGATTTTAAGCTTCTAGATGGGAAAGAGAAATCGCCTCTATATTCTGCTATAATCTCCAAGCCTGATGCAAGTACAAATAATCGTATCTAGTCGTTGCTATGTGAGGTTTGTATCCTACCACTGAGTAACTAAAAGACAGAAGCAGCTGCCATATTTTAGAGCCAATTTTGTGTGAGCCACCATATAAGGTGTTTTACAGACCACATCTAATCCTGACAGCGACCTCGAGGCAGGTCTCTGGATCCCCATCTTCTAGATGAACAGTCTCGGGCCGTGGCTTACTCAAGAGTCATGCCCTGAGGACAGTGGAGACAGGCTCACAGCCCAATCCTCTAGCTCCCAAGCAACCCTGCCCCTTTCCACCTGACCACACTGAACCCATCCTCCATGTGTTCCTTGGGGACCCGTCTATGTGCCAAACTGAAGAAATTCTTCTTTTTAATCAAAATAATGCAGCTCACTTACACTACTGTCCATCTGCAAAGGACAAACGAATCTGTAACTTCGGTATCTTTCTACTACCAGACTTAAAAAAGAAAAAAAAACCCAACTATAGTTACTTCCAAGATTTGCTGTCAGGACACCATATTGGTATGAACTCTTTCATTATTTAAAGTGGATCTATAGCTGCCTGCAATGACAGATTAATTCTGTTTCTTCGGTAGCTAGGTGTTTGGCATCACGTTTGTGAGGTAACCACAAGCCTTTAGGGCGATAGCTGCTCACATCTTTAGCAATCTATAAGGGCTTCTCTAGAGGCCAGCACTTGCCGAGCGATGAAATATGACTCCATAAATCAGACGGCTGAAGTGGCACTTGTATACGTCACCATCTATCTTCGCGGCTTCCCTCTGAAGGGTAACAGGGTAAGAGCTCATCCCTCGGTATTGTGACCAGAGAAAGGACCATCAGAGTTGGCACTGACTAAGCATGTGCTACTTAAAACTGAAGACACACTAAGACTGGGGGAAAAAAAAGATCCTGCTGGTGTTAGCACGCCTCAGGCAGTGGTAGGAGCTTCAGCAACTCATCTTCAAAAGGCAGAGCGCCAGAGCTCTAGAAACCTGCAAAAATTGGCTAAGCCTGCAGTCTTCATTTCTTTAAGCTGAGCATCTTCAAAGTCTAGAATTCTAACTGTAGGGCACAGCAGCTGCCACTGCAGATCTGATCCTCTCCGCTTTTGGCAGCTCTCAACTTGAGATTCTAGCAAAAGAATTTTTCAAGTTGCTATTATTGCCTGTCATGGATTTATAAATATTGTGCACTATCTGCTGTGGCATGGCTCTCATGGGACGCGAGAGCATGCCAAATGCATAACAGAATGAAAAACAGTTTCTATTCTTCAAATAAATGCTAATTTTTTTTAACTGTGCTCACACGATGTGTTTGGTGACCAACTTCAATAGTACAGAATATGTATCAGAGAGGGGGGAAAAAAGCTGATTGTCTTTTCCAGCAGCATTCAGCTGCTACTTTCATTAAGCTTGTTTAATTAGATTCCAGATGCTAATTTGCAAGTCGATACCAGAGGGTGCAGGACAGTTTGCCTTTGAATCATCTCCCTGTGATGTGAGGGTCCTGCCGCACACCGCTACCCTTCAGCGGCCCTCGCACGCTCTTCTGACAATTAGTGCAAAGAGGGGACAGTATTGATCTTGACAGACTAAATATTAATCTTCTACCCGTTTTAATGAATTATAATCTTCAAGAGTTTAAATTTCTCACTGGGCAAAATGAAAACATTCCTTCTTACAAAGAAGTGGGATGGAAAGAAAACTAACCCAAGTTATCTGATGGATTCCTTTCATTCCTTCCCCGCCCTAAAATAAAATGTTTTTATTTCAGCAATTGTAACAATTTTCAAGATACATACCCTCACAAAGCTAACACCATTATTTCCAGGTATTTCAGTCAAATCCCTTATACTTAACTGGAAAATGGACTCAAAAGGCCACAGTGTGGTTATCACAATTTTTCCTGTCTAGCCAGCCTTGGGTAATAACCAGGATCAGGGGCTTAATTCTTATCCCAGCTTTAACAATAGAAAAAAAAAAAAAAATCTGGGGGAACGGCTCCGTGCAATTCATCATCACCAAAAAAACCTCTAACGTAACTGACCCCTTGTCATTAGGTCAACTCACACATTTCAAGATCCACTACCCTGCTAATACAGAGCAAATAAGCACCTTTGCTGATAAAAATAAAGCGGGAATTTATCACAAGCCATTCAATTTTTTCCTGCTTTCATTTCTATCACAGCTGAGTACTACGAACACCAAAGGTGAAGTTATCAAACCTCATCAGAGGAGGGTTAATCTGGGAACGATGAAGTAAAGCAGTTTTTGACACCTTTTCAACCACTCACTCAGCAAATGCTGGTCTAATGCCCACCATGCACCAGTTACCATGCTAGGTGTGAGGAAAGAGAAATGGAGAAGCACGGTTCCTGCCCTCAGAGGACTTCCAGACGAACAGCAAGGAGAAGGACGAGAGGACGAAAATCGCAAGACCACTAAAAGCAGTGTCGGGGTCACAACCGGGTTGGGGATTTTTTTTTTTTTAATTTTTTAAATGTTTGTTTATTTTTGAGAGAGACAGCGAGCACACAAGTGGGGCAGGGGCAGAGAGAAGGGGACAGAGAATTCAAAGTGGGCTCTGT